GATTAGAATTTGTAAATTTATAATTTGTGGGTAGGCAGAATAATGACTTCCTGAAGATGTCCAGGCCCTGATGCCTGGAACCTGTGACTGTGTTACCTTACCAAAGGGACCACGCAGGTGTGATTAAGGGTGTGGTCTCTGAGATAAGTAGATTATCCTGGATTATACTCACGTGCCCCACAATCTAAACCATGTGAGTCCTTAGAAGCAGAGACCCTTCCCCACCTGGGTCAGGGGGGTGACCTTGAGAAAGAAGGAGGGGAGACACAAAGCACTGGACCTTCTATCGCTGGCCTTGAAGATGGGGGAAGGGGCCCCTAGACAAGGAACCTGGTGGCCTCTAGAAGCTGGGAATGGCCTCTGCTGAAGCCAGCAAAGAAACGGGGATTTCAGTCCTAAAACCACAAGGAGCTGAATTCTGCGTTGGCCAGAAAATGGCTCCTCCAGCAAGGAACTCAGCCCCACTGACCCATGATTTTAGCCCAGTGAGACCCACGTCAGGCTTCTGACCTCCAGCGCTGCAAGATAATAAAGTCGTGTTGTTTAAACCACTACATTGTGCTAAACTGTTATGGCAGCGATAGAAAACTATTACGTATCTCTACTTTAGGAAGCCAATCTTAAAAAATAAAAAAGAGGTTTCTCATGTCTCGGGATGAAAAGATCTACTCTTGGCTGAAAATCTACCTGTTCCCTCCCCTCCCCACACCCTGCGAAAAGCAAGAAGCCGAGAGCTGCCTTAGGGAGTGGCACCTGAAAATAGAAACTGCAACGTGATTTTATTTCTAACTCCACAGACATCGCTGTGAGTCATTCATCTCCCCGGGTCTCACTTTCCATGTCTGCAAAACAGGCTGAATTAACCCTGACTTCTGCCTACCCCACAGTTTAAGGACCAGGAAGAAAAATCCTCCAAAATCAGCTTCATAAACAGAGCCCCAGGGTGCTCCTTATCAAGCATTAAGATAAACTGCAGACACTAGTCTGGTCACTGACACTCCCACACCTGCTCCATGGGGCGTCTCTCCTCTCCTCTGGCTTCCTTGGTGGGGTTCTGGGCACACCTGGTCCCTCGTAGGTGCAGTTGGCACAGAAATGAGAAAAGCTTCAGACAGGCAAAGGTGCGGGAGCCCATCTCGGGGCCCATGTGGGCAGGTTTTAGGGTTTTGGTTTTGGGGGAACAATATTCTCACACCTAGGTGACTGGGGTTTAGCATGACCACATTGTTTTCATGATGGAAAGAAAACAAAGCAATTGCCCAGATCAGACTAGCAGGTACAGAGGCAGCATGGGACTCCGTTGGAGACAAGGCGAGGAAGGAGAGGCAGAGAAATGAAACATCTCCGAGTTGTCTGGGAGTGGCTGTACCAGTGCGGAGAGCAGAGGTGACACCCTGGGCTCATTCCTTCCTCAGAGCCCGCCCCAGTGAGACCTAAGTAAGTGGACACGCAGGCATTTTCTCAGTAAGCTGGTTACAGATGCCTCGGTTTGGGGGCATTTTAAAAGATGCCCTCAAGGTAACAGAAGGTCACCCTTGTGATGGCAGCATGTGTGAGACCCTCAACTCTTCTGGGTCTCTGGGCACCTGCCCACTCCCATCTGCGCCTTCCTTGGCCCTGGTCCGCATAGCGTGTGGGTGCATGACGCACTCAGGTGATGGCACATGGGACAGGCTCCAGGCCAGGAGTCCCGGCATCAACAGAGTCCGGCTTGGCTGGCCCCTGCCCTGAATCCTCCTGCTCACAGCCAGCTGTGGAGCCGGCCCAGAGGGTGCTGGCTCTTGGCACCCCCCCTCCCAGGCCCACTCAGTATGACCTAAATCCAGCCCTTGGCCGGTGCCCAGACTGCCCCTAGCTCTGGTGACAGTGGCGCCCAGCCCCCCTTTGGCTTCCCAGCCTTCCTGGGAACCCCCTTGCCCAACATCCTGTGTGGTAATCACGCCTGTTGGCCTCACACAGTCCTGCTGGCCACCGCTGAGTTCCCTCTGCTAGTTCCTGGCGCTGGCACCCCTAGCCGAACCCCCATGAAATAGAAAGCTGCTGCAAGTTCTCTCTCAGGTCAGAATCCCCTCCCTTGGGGGGTCCAGCGTTCTGCAGCAGAGGTGACCAGGTGTCCTTCTGTCTTGGAGGAGGCTGCAGGTGGGTCTGAAGAAGGGACAGAGGCCAGACGCTGCAGGAGTGGGGATGGGGCACCTACGTCAGGAGCCCTGCCTCAATTAGCCCAAGGTCACCTGCTGAGGAAGGGCAGCAGAGGAAAGAGCGGCTGCCTCTTCAACAGCAGGGGCCACCCAGGGCACTGACAGAGCTCGAGGGTACAAGAGACGCGGGCACGGGGTTGGGGCAGGGTGAGGGTCACACACAGCTTGACAGGCACGAGGAGCAGGATGGGGGCTCGGAGTTACCATCCCCCGGGTGCTGTGAGGCAGCTGACGCGAACCTCATCTACATGCCGCTCGCCCTGCAGAGAAGGCCTCGTTCCAGGCGCTGTCTCGAAGCCACACAGGTACAGGCCACCACTTACTATGCACGTATCCCCCGCCAGACGGCCCCTGGCCGTTCCCATTGTCCCCATCCTACAGATGAAGACACTGAGTGTCAAGGGCACGCAAGTGGTGTAAGCAGAGCTGTGACGCTGACAGGTGGAGGTGTGGCGGGGTGTGCACTCTGACCCCCTGGATACTGAATACGGGACGGACCAAGCCACTCATCCTACACATGGGCAGGAGCGAGGCTCGGGCGAGTCCCGGAGCCGGTGTCAGATCCCGGGGGAGCCCGCCGCCGCCGCCTCCCGGGTCTCCTCCACGACACAGCCACCCTCCCCCGCCCTTCCGGGCGCGCGCGCCGCAGGCGCAGCAGGCGGCGGGCGGGAGCGCAGCTCGCCCGAGGCAGGCTCGGCGCGGCGGCTGGGGCCGACCCGGCACTGCCCGAGGCCCCGCGCGCCGGCCACCGCGAGCTGGGCGTGCCTGCCGCCGGCCTCGCGCGCCCGGCCCCCGCCCGCGCGCGCCTGGGGTCCCGGCCCAGTGCGCGGCGCGCGTGCGGCCCCGGGCCCGGGCGAGGCCGCGGTGGCCTGAGACCTGGCGCGCGGCGGCCGCCGCCTCTCGCCGCCCCGGCTCCGCGGCGAACCGCGGCGAGAGGCGCGGGCCGCGCGGCGCGCACCTGCGGGCGGCGGCGGAAGAGGAGCGCGGCCCGGGCGCTGTCAGGCCGCGCGGAAGGCCCTGGAGCGGCTGGCCTGGCGCAGCCCGGCCCGCAGCGCCGCCCGGCCACTTCCCGGAGCAGCGGCCGGCGCTGACGAGCGAGACGCAGTAAGCTGCCGCGCCCGCGTGCGTCGCCGCGGCCGCTCCGTGCGCGGGCCGTTCGCCGGCCGAGCCGCCGCGCGCGCGTCGCTCGCAGCCCCGCGGCCTCGCTCTGCCGCCCGCCCCGGCGGCCGTGCGGGCTGGTGGCGGCTCGGTGGCCGGCAGCCGGGCCCCTTCCGGGGAGCCCCGGGGGGGCAGCGCGTCCCTTTTCCCAGGCTTCCTGGAACTGAGTCCAAGGAGAGTGGCAGCTCCATGCTTTTCCTCTTGGGGTATGCTTAATCTTTGGCATTGGCCCTCAGGTTTCAAACAGCGTTTCCAAGACTGTTTTTCCAGAGGCAAACCTCTCCCTCTGGATCTCTGAAAACCAGCTCACTCAACCTCGAATGTTTAGCCAAAAGGAGAACTTCTGAAAAGATCATGAGTCTGAGATCCTTGCCCACCCCCAACAGGCCCCTGGCTCGTGAAAGGTAGCAGATGAGGCAAAACTGGTATAGAATAGTCATATTTTAGAATATGCATTATATCCCTTTAATCTTTCATCAGTATGATTGGACAAGCTGGCCATGAGTTAGTTGTTCCTTGGCCTTTTTTTCTGTTTGAATGGTTAATTGGTTTTACAGCAGTTCCAAGAAGCTAGCAAGAAGGCCTGCATTCATGATGTTAATGGCTTAATGAGAGAAGCTAACATTTCTTGAGTGCTTACTGTATGCCAAGCATTGTGCTAAACTTATGTGGCTTATCTCATTTTGTGCTTGTGTGGACTAATTTTCTCATTCTGTGGTTGAGATAGAGAGGTCAAATAACTCGTCTGGGGTCACAGCAAAGAATTGAATCCAGAGTTCTCTCACTTAACCAGTTCTCTAGAAACTAGCCCCTGAGGGCTTTCCAGGTTTTAACAAGCTAACTCAGGCTTCAACATGATGTCTTCATGGCTTCAGAAGGGAGGAGCATGAATCACAGTTAGGCAAAGTGGCCCTGGGAGGCAGAGGCCAGTTGCAGCCATTTAGTGTTCAGGGCAGCTTGACTTCATGGAGCAGAGAAATAGCCTATCTGGCTTAGAACCACTCTTATTCCAGTCCTTTAGAGAAGCAGAACCAGTATCTAATAAAATGTTTTATTTCTTGCCATTTGGGGGTGTAGTCACATTTTGCAGGTGGGTGGGAGGTTAGCTCTGGAACCAGACTGCCTATATTAAAATCCTATCACCTCTAAGCTGCCTGACCTTTAGGAAGTTATTTTACCTCTCTGCACCTTCGCTTCCACCCTACGTACTGCTAAAATGGGGATAATAATAGTACCTACCTCACAGGACTGTGGCAAGAATTAAAGGGTATGAGGCATGTCAAACTCTCAGCCTAGCATTTGGCATGGAGCTAAGTACTCTATAAATAACTATTTTGTTATTAGTAGTATTGTTACAAGTAGTAAGCTGCCGCTGATGTGTGCTTTGTCACAGTGCTTGAAGTTATTCCTTAGCACCATCATTCAAATGCATAAATGACAGAGGTCCTATGCAAATGGAGTTTATTTGTTCATTCAGCAAATATTTATAGAGCGCCTTCTGTATGCCAGGCCCTGATCAGGGTACTGGAGGTACTGCTGAGAGCAAAACAAAAATCCCTGTCCTCATTGGCGCCTACATTCTTGCGGGGAAGAGTGGCAGACAACAAGCAAAATAAATGTAATTATCACAGAGTATGTTGGGAAAGTGGTATGTACTACAGAGAGAAGTCCAGCAGGGAGGAGGATGGGGGTGGGGGTTTACAGTTTTACAGAGTGGTTTGAGAACGGCTCACCGAGCAGGTGACGTTTCAGCAAAGGACTGAAGTTAGTGGGGAAGTGAACCATGTGGACACCTGCAGGAGGGGGTGGGACTAGGCCAGGCAGAGAGAACAGCAGGTGCAAAGTCCCTGCAGTGGGAGCATTGGCGGCTGAGGCCTGGAGAGGAGCAGAATAGTAGGAGAAGAGCACAAAGAGGTAACGGGTGGGAGGCCAGAGCGTGTAGACCCTGTGGACCTCTGAAATGAGGATGATGTGATCTGACCAACACTGTAAAAAGGTCACTCTGCTGCTGAGTTGAGGTTCAGGTATAGAAGGTCCAGAGGTAGATGCTGGAGGCCAGTTAGGAGGGTCCTATGGTAATCCAGACAGAGATGATGGTGCCTTGTATTCTAGATACATTTTGAAGGTAGAAACTGGGATTTGCTGGCAGGTCAGACGACCCCAAGGTTTCTGGTCTGAACACTTGGAGGGATAGAATTGCCATTTATTGAGAATGGGGAAAACTGCATTTGAAGCAAGTTGGGAGATAAATCAGTTCAATTTTTTACATGTTAAGTCTGGTATACATCCAACTAATGCTGTCGGTGTAGCTGTTGAACGTGCGAGTCTGGAGTTTAGGGGGAGAAATCCAGGCTGGAAATAAAGACAGGAGTACAGGCAGTTGTGTGCTGGGAAATGTTTAACGGCTAACTCTGTAGGGGCTGGGGTTTGGTGGTGGGAAACCTGATTTAAAACCTTTGCCAACATCTGTGGTGTCACTATTGCCATGTTGACCTATTTCAAACACACGGTTATAGAATATCTTCACCGTGTAGATACAGTAGATGTAAATAATGTCAAGAGCACAGATATTAGTAAAATGCCGTCACATGATTAGGAAGTGATGAGCGTTGAGCATTTATTACCTTTGATTTAAATATAACTTAATTATAAATTTATATAATTCCATTTTTGATAATTACGGCTGTGTTTAACAACCGGCTTGAAAAATTCCTGGAAATCGAGCATTCGAATCTTGTGTGCCATACAAAGTTGCTCCAATGCACATCCCTAATTATAGAGACCTGGGATTGGGACCTGCAGGTGGGAATGACTCGCCGGTGCCTGGACGCATTTGGCACAGATGGGCCAGAACAGGAAGGGAAGAGTGCAGGAAAAATACATGGTGCGGCCATGACAAAAAGGACTGGGCACATCACCTTATGCCCAGTTTAAAATGGTATTTAGTTTGAATTCTTGTTTTACTCCCATATACATCATCTTTAAAAAATTCCCAACTCATTTGAAGAAAAGTTGCTTTCTTCCTGCCTTGCACTCAGAAGGTAGCATCGTCAAAGCTGGGGGGGGGACAAGGTGGCAGCTGCCACTGACCTTTACCTTCCGGCTCCTTCCCACCACCCTCTTACCCCTTGTCTGCCGGGCGCAGAGGATTAGAACTGCTTCCTCCTTTGGTTTACCGGAAACTCTGTGCAGCTGGAGCTGTGGCACCAGCTGGGTCAGTCTGTGCCGGGCCTGGGCAGGGACAGCTGCTTGGGTGCCAACCAGACCTGCCTCTTCCACCTGGGCAAAAACATAGACCAGAACCTGGATTCTGATCCAAACCCCCTGGCTGGCCCAGTCAGTGTTGCCACCTTCTGGGATGTTAGCAGAGACCTTCTTTAACAGGTGAGTCTCTCCCAGAAGGACTGGTAGGAGCCTCTGGGGCTTGGAGCTGGGGACAGTGAAGGGTGCTGGGGACTGGGTACGTGCGCCCACAGTCAGCCCTAACTCTAAGACGAGCCTGTCAGAAGAACGCCTTTTCCACCTACCTACGGGAGCCCCCACGGCACTGTATTTTGTAGTGAGTGTATTTCTGGCAAGTATTTTGAATAAGAATTGTAAATGAAATTGCATCCTCCACGCACTTAAGTCATAACTTCAAAGGGTTTTGTCTTAACTTCTGAATGACGCACAGTCGTCAGCTCTCTGCTTCCTATTTTAGTTCTCTGTTTCCCTGCCCAGCTGCGTTGGTCTGAGGCTCTAGGCACTTACCTGCCCTTGTAGAACGGCGGAGGGCATCTCCCTGACAACAGGGAGGGGATCTCCCGTCCTTGGAAGACATGGGACTTAGGGGTAGTAAAATATGAACATCACAGAGATCCTTTAGCTCAGCCTGTCATTTTCTAGATGAGGAAACTGAGGCCCGGCCAGGTGAAATGACTTGTTCAAGGTCATGTGCTTGTTCATACGGCCTGTGCAAGGATCACCACGTATTCTAGTTCCCGATCTCATACCCTGACCTCTCCTACAGCTTCTCACACTTCTCACTCAGGCTTTTTTTGACTTATTCGTTTCAAACAAAAGAAGGGATTCATAGTTGGATCAGCCATTGGAGGGCCATTTCCATGCTTTTGGGCTAACTTCAGGCATGCAATTTTGGGAGATTTATTTCACAGCCCTCTCGGAGCAGGCAGGGAGGCAGGAGGGAGAAGCGCTTCAAGAAAACCTCTCAAATGAGAGCCCCCCCCCCCATCTCCTCCGGCATAAGGACTGTTCTCCCAGCGTCTGTCTTCAGTGCCGTCTGCAGGGCTTGGCGCTGCTGCTGCAGGAGATCTGCACAGACAGGGTTTTCCTGACAGCAAGGGTATTATGCTACCTTTGGGGCCCCCAGGTACTTTATATTTAATTAACACTTGTATATGTTTTTGTCACCAGTATCATCCCAGTTAATCCTCATAACCCTCCTCCCCTTTAGGTGGCTGGTATTAGCCCTGTTTTACAGACGAGGAAACGTGGGCCCAAACGGATTTCATATGCTGCGTGTACTGCTAGGTCGGACAGCGGGGAAGTGGCCTGGAGCCCGGCTCCTCTGGAAGAACGATCCCACGTTCTTCTCCTTGGCCAAGGAAGCACAGAGCCTGAGGGCCCCGGCCTGTCACTTCACAGTTTATTTTACCTCCCGGTTTCCTCACCTGTAAAATGAGAATCTTCACCGAGCCTCCCTCACAGACTGCCGCGAGGAAGGACGGAGAGGGTGCGTCTAGGTTGTCCGGCACTCGCCGACTGCTTGGTGAGCAGGTGTCGTCAGTAGTTGGCAACCGGTTTTTGCAGGGGGTGGGCAAATTAAGCCATTTGGGGCTGTTTTGAAATACCTGTGTCAGGACCTGCCCCGAACCTACTGAATCAGAACTTCTCCGTCTTGGCGAAGGGAGTAGGAGGTTCAGTGCGTGTCTCGATTCTGACGCCCTCCTCTGCCAAGAGCCATTGCTCTAGAACTCACTGCTCAGCATTGCAGAGCGTGCTCCCCAAAGTGTGCTCCTTGGACCAGCTGTCAGCACCACAGACCCCTGCCAGACCTTCTGCATCAGAATCTGTATTTTAAAAAGCTCCCCACGAGATGCAAATGCACGTTAAAGTGTGAAAAGCACTGTTAAGATGAAGAAACCTGCTAATAAAAAAACAAATGCACACACATACCACCCACACCCGTTTAGGGAAGAGTTGTTTTGCAACTTCGGAGTAAGCAACTGTTTTGAAATACCCGATATCTTGGATTTGTTTAAAGGACTGCTGGGAACATAGTCAAGAGATAAAGGAAGCTAACCTAGAACTGGGGACCGGGAACAGGCCTGGTCAGGGAGAGTTACCATAAAACTTCAGAGTCAGAGCGGGAGTAAACAGAGAGCCAGGCGTCGGTTCGGGCCAGGCAGCCACGCAACACAGCTGTCTGTGGCATTCTGGGGAGGGGGGCAGTGGTGCTGGCCCTTGGGGCTCCCCTACTTGCCCATCCTGGCACCCGGAGCTGCCTGGGCTCCTCCTCTTGTGCCAGGCACGTCCAGGGCCCTGGCTACCAGGCTCCGGTCAGGAGCTCTGAGTCGCAGCCCGCCAGCTGGCGCTCCTCCTTCTGCAGGCTGTTCTCTGGGCTTCAGGTTTCTCACTGCCTCTCTCCCGCACTGACCTTGCAGCTTTTCCTTCCCTCCAGACAGGCGACTGCCAGTTGAGAAAAGAAATGCTTGAAGGACCAAGGACAGGGATTGGAAAGCAGAAGAAAGTAGAATGGTCTTGTGGTCCATTTCTGTGTTTGGGGTGAATGCAGATGAAAGGTGGGGGAGGAAGGTGGGGGAGCCACTCACGTGGTCCCTTGCCCCTCCAGGTAAAGCTGCAGTGATGGAAATGTCGGGGGTCCTGTAGGCACTGGCGCAGACACTGTCATTGGGTCCTCATCGTGGTTTGGCCATGCGCTAGGGCCATCTTGGGGATGGATCTCCAGAGAGATTAGAGGAGGCAAAGGGAGAGGTGGAGGAGGGGGTCTGATGGCAGGTCCAGAGGTGATTTGGTCCCCTTGTATCACAGGGGGATGGGGGGAAGGTAAGCTGGCCTTTCCGTGGGGCCTTTTATAAGTTCAGTTATCTCTTTAAACCTCAGTTTCCCTATTTGTATTACCAGGTTACAGCCTCCTAAGGTTGTTGAAGAGTTAGCTAATCCTTTATCTGGGAGGATGCCAGGCATATATTATTAGGTGCTAAATCAGTAATCTTAGTTCCTTCTTTACTACTCCACCCCAGGCCGCCCCATTTCCACTGTGGCGCTGGCCACCACGACTTTCCTGGCACACACGGGCCTAACGCTGGGGCCCGCGACTCCCAGGACAATGCTGTTCATTTGGTGTTTATTCGATACTTCCATGGTGTGTGGCAGGAGCCAGGGAGATGCCTTCCTGGTGGGACAGACAGATGGGACAAGGACAAGACCAGGGTAAAGGAGCAGGGGCCGTGCAGGGAGGCGCGTGGTGCCGTGGGAGATTCAAAAGGGAGCAGGCGTTGCAGGTGCTCCGACTTCCTGCATGCCCGGAGCTGAGAGCTAACAGCTGAGAGGCCTGGGGGAGGCAGAACAGCGGAGCCCCCCAGGCAGGGCTCTGCAAGTACAAGATCAGAAGGAGCCCTCCACGCGGCTCTGACAGCCTCCACCATGTCACGCTCATGTAAACTCGGGGTAACTTCCAGCACCGACTGCCACCTGCCCGCCACTGTGCCAGTCTTATGACACCGGGGGCCCACCCGTTCCCACCAGGGCAGCATGGGGCCTACCCGTGGCTTTGCCAGCAGGCGCCCTGGGACCACACGGCAGGCCCTGGAGGACCACACACCAGCAGAAAAGCGCTCCCTCCCGGAGACGGGCACCGGACAAGTTGGCCGAGGCCCGGGGCGGCAGGCCTGGCCCGCGGGGGCCCAATGTCACGTGCAGCGCGCAGAGGGCCAGGGACCTGCAGCGCGGCTGGGCCCCGGCTCCACGGGCCACCACTGGCGCGGCGTCCAGCACTCCTCCCCTCCACCACGATCTCCCCACCCGC